TCTTCGCGTAATTAGATGTTCGTATGCAAGGGATTTTTCCACCCAAAAACGACGAATTAGGCCGAATTCGATTCGTTCCAAATGATAACTGAACGAGTCTTAACATGTTTTGTCACACGTCGCGGCTTATTATCCCAAAATTTACACCAATTAAACAATATCTTCCTAATAATCATTATTAAGTTACATTTGCAATTTTCGGTATAAACACTCTCAATTGTTTCTTCTGTTGTCATAGATACGAACATCATGAATAAAACTGGATTGATATTAACAACAGCAGACTTATCGTCGGAGTATGGTTTTTTTGATATTGATGGAAGAAATCCAGTGAATTATAGATGTATTAAAGATCTTGTAACACTATACGGATATACCTGGCTAGCAATGTTCATACCGAGGTTTATCAAAGTGCCGGCGTGGATGATGGCCATTATAAATAGCAGACTATACTAAATTATTTGCTGACCTAAAGGAACTTTTTATAAACTTAGCTCACGGAAATTTCATATGAACCCTTCAACTTGTAATCGATGTTCACTCTGATTGATCACGTGAGATAGTATTGGAATTCTCTCAAAATCCGAGGTTTTTTCTCGCGAGATTAAAACATTACATTATATAATACAGTATTATGCGGTTGAACGCGATTTTACAAAGTTACAGATTGCGTTTTTTGTAAGCTGTTCTTTTTAAAACTTAAAATGTGTTAACGAAAATATTACACCGGTGTTGTTTTTCGACAAACGGGCTATTATTCAGCAATAATGCTGCAATTGTACGTCCATGGTTATGTGATTGTCATCTTGTTTATGAAGCTTTGAAATATATCTGTAAATTTAATAGAAAGTGTTGAAATAACACTTTTAGATTTTCCCATCCAATGGCATGTCAGCTTTAAACTTCATTAAGTTCAACGAGTTTAAACTTATTATTAAACAACCCTCCCGCATTGTCACTAAACAACTGTCGAGTCTAAGGCAAATAACATGACTCAAATGCAAATTTTAATCATAGAACTGAGATCCAACTCCACCAATTAGAAGAATACTTTATTGTCGTGAATTTGTTGCCAATACTTTGTAATTGTGTTATTTATATTTGGCACTATGTGGTGTATAGAACTTATATCACTGAATATGCAACTACTTTTACACAGGAATTTTATAGTTATATTGTTACAATATTTATCAAGGAATCCGTCCTGCTCACTAAATGCATGCGTTTTATTTCCTAATCGACGCTGTATTTCGTAGCTGTATTAACTCCAATGCAGGGAACACTTCAACTTTGCACATAATTACCACCCACTATCGGTTGACACACCGTATGATTTATTAGTACTATACATAAATAATTTTAATTTAACCGATTCATAGAAGGACATTGCTGACTGAATGTTTCATAATTTACGTTTTAGTGAAAACTCAGTAATTGTATATTTCTATTCAATTTCCAGACAAAAATCTTTTGACAAAAATCAGACTATACAAAACGTATTGTCGAACAAAGTCGGATATTTTAAAATTAAATGCATACCATTCATATAGAGATATTAGGTATAAAGTTGGCTACTTAAAATTTGCAAGTTGGCCTTGCTAAGTGAAAAAATGGTTACACATCAGATAAGCAGATTACTCATGCTAGGTAAAGAAATAGTTACACCTCGGATTAGCAGATTAGCCATGTTAGGTGAAGAAATGGTTGCACATTAGGTAAGCAGATTAGCCATGCTCGGTAAAGAGATGGCTACACCCCAGATTAGCAGATTAGCCGTGCTAATGTAAGTCGATTTTCTCAGTTTTTACTTTTGGGTAACAATTAACTGTGCTGAACAGTCGAATTATCAGTGTAATAAAGAACCGTCCGTGTAAACCAGGTCTGCGTGTCAATCGTCGTGGGTCAACATAGATACTCCATACTGTGCTTCTCTAGCCTACTTTAATTGAACTCTAAACTATTGCCCTTGTTTGGGGGTCGTACTGCGCACTGTACTGCGATATTAGGGGACAAATACAGACAGTGGTGTAGTATTTGGCGTGATAAAGCCACAGTCAACTGGTGAGTGGGTGGCAGGCATGCCAACTGTATTTTAGTTCTCATCATTCTCCAAGCTTCGACTTACAGCAATTCCAGGCACTGATTTGACGCTGAAGTAGTGCTAGATGTTGATAACTTACTACAATAGGTTACAAATTTGTTTACAAATTTACACAAGTTGTAACTAGAAATACAAGTAACCTGTAGAATACTGTGTGGGTAATATTTTTTATATTGATTTTTGTTGCATTTGCAGCAAATAGTTACCAAACAATGAGAAATCTATAGGATTGAATATATCCCACAGCTGGCTTCACATGCATTGTTCATATTTCATATGGTGCTTACACCAGGATTTAATTACAGCACCTAGGCGGTATGTGGTTACAGCTTAATGTTCGAGTAATCGCAAGAAATTGACATGACAATAGAAATTCATTAAAGACTGCCACTCCCATGCAATTAACAGCGAGTGAAATTCCTGGGATTGAAACATATATTTTGAAGTCACTGATGTAGGCAACGAATAACTGCAAGTTGACATAAAGACGAGGTAGTTTATTTAATCAGTGGTCAACTAGAGGCTGAAATTATAATTAATTTGTTTATTTCAATTTCTCCTGACGTCAAATAGAATACACTGGTGAAACACGGTAGTAACTGTGGGTGAAAGGATGTTTTGGGGTGTAGTTTACATTGTATATGGAGTGGTAGGGTCGGGTGTAATGTGTTCATTTCCAACTATT